CCCCCTCCCTTTGCTCCTGGGCCTCCTTCTCTTCTGGGTCTTTCTCTCCCTTACCCAAGCCCTCCATCTCTCCTCCTCCCTTGTCTTCCCCCTCCCCACCCTCCTCACTCTGCCTCTGTTCCACTCCTGAACTTCCCTCCCGCTGGACTCCCTCACCTCTACCTCCTGCCTTTCCCTTGCCTTCACTCACCTCCGCTCTGTCTGTCAGGTCGTCTGACAGGATCTCTATCTCCTCCTCCTGCTTTCGTGCGGGCACTTTCACATTTTCCTCACTTGCCTCTACCTCTGGCTCCTCTACTCCACTTCCTTCTGAATCCTCTGCTCCTTCCTGCTCTTCAGGGATCTCTGACAAGTGGTCACATTTAAAATCGAATTTTGCCAGGAATTTGGACAGTTTGTGTTCAGTCTCCTCCTCATGTCCTTGTTCGATAAATTTTCTGCTATACCACAAGTTTGGGTCCATTTCCACTTCATCATCCTCTTTCTCTCCACTACTAAATTCTACTGACTCGGGCTGCTCGAAGCCGTCAGTGGTGCCTTGCTGACTTGCACTTTCGCCTTCCAAGTAACTATCTGGCTCGTCTAGAGAGTCTCGTTCGCTGTCAAAAATCATATCTCGCTTGTTCCTCTTACCGTCCTCAATAAAATCTTTACTGTCTTCATCATCAATATTCATGTCTCTATTTGGTAAGTTGTCAAAGAACATATTAATATGTCTTAAATTCTCTTCGATTTGTCTCCTAGCCTTCAGACCTGCCATTTCGGCCAGCTCAGTTTCCTTCTCAGAGACTATTTCTTCTGCATCTGGATCCTTCTGCCACTGGCCTGCATCACTTGCCTTTGCTATGGCCTTCCTGTCAGGTGGATAAAGATCATGCTTACTCTCATGTCTGAACAGCCCTCTTTGCACACCCTCTGCATGGGTGTCACGAGGCCCAGGCTGGCCTGAGTCACTACCTATGTCCTCATCTGAAAATGCTTCCGTAGTCATAGCTGCTTGCATCACGTACATTCCTTTTGCCAAAAGTTGTTTATAGACTCTCCCCTCATTCACTGTTTTGGACATCTCTTCACTTGCAAATCCGTTACTATCATCGTTTTCAGAGTGAGCTGTATGCTGCTTCAGTTTCTCAATTGTTTCTTGTTTCTGTAAATTTTTGAAGTAATCGTCATACTACTATTAGTTGACAAAGGGGACTTATCTACTACAAAACACTGCCCAGATTTTGCATTACTCTAAGTTTCGCTAGCAGAATAAAAATGTCCAGTTTTCCCAGACATTTTGCTCAGACTGGCCTCTTGTTGGCGAGAACCGCCACCACTCTCTGAGTCTGCGGCACCTGGGACTCTGCCGTGGCACACAGGTCAGCATCTCACTTGCACGCACTCACCACCTACCCTCATGTTGCCTCCACTCACACAGGTCAACTCACGTCAGGATGTCTTCTCCACCCCTTAACTGGAATCGAGTCTTAAAGAGAATATTTTTCTAGACAGATTGTGCAAAATACCGGTTAAAAAAAAAACGTACACTTCTCTTATATGAAATCAGGTTCGGTTTTCTTTTTTCCTACTTTCCCTGTTATTTTAATTGTTAGACTTTGATTGGTCTTTGAATTCTGTGAAATTCACAGAATTAAAGAAAATTAATGAAAATATGAAATTGTTTAATATTGGAAAAAATGAATAACTTATGCCTAGAAGGAAAATCTGAAATGAAAACTACAAAACTTTTAATCAGTATACTAAAAAATATGTTTCTTTTCAAAACAAATCTTTGAGTTTTCAAATTTTTGACCCTCTTCCTTTTATCTATTGTATTCTTTAATTGTAATAACTTACATACATGAAACTAACCACTATGTGGAAAAAGTATCTGTGGTAAAATGTAAGATTTTTATAAAAACTACAAAATTAAAGACTGCGACTTGAATGATACATTACGAATATGAAATTCATTTCCTGCTGGACAAAATAAGGCAAAAATCAAATCATTGACCTAAATTCTGTAAGCTAATGAACTGAAATATTTGATAAATTTGGGTCTCTGGAGAGTGAAATCTCACTAAATCAAGTGCTATAAATTGTCATGAGCGCTAGGCCCAGGAAGAAGTCATTTTTTGCCCCCCCCCAAAATTAAAAACAGCACAAGCTAAACATTAATATATGGAAATACTACAGTAAATCATTTTTTTAATTCACTAAAATAGGTCTGGTTGAGCCTCTACTTAAAAGGACTATGTCAAGTATAAAATATCAGTTTAAAAGCAAGTGCTTTCCTTCTGCTTGTTCTAGGTCCCACTTTTTAAAAAATCACAATTCTTTCAAGAGCCCTAAAGAGAGGCAGAGGCCCAGTTGCCAGAAATGATTTCTAAATGTATGTGCCTTTACTTGCCTAGCATAATCAAATAGCACAGAAGAGGCAGAGCCCTGAGTCTAAGAGAAGAGGAAGGAGAGACAGAGGAACAGATGTCTGCTTGGAAGTGCAGTCAGTCAATAAAGTCAGTCAACCTTCGCTGAGCTTCCACACTGGGTTAGGACAATAGTTCTCCCATATTCAAAATGAATGCTGTTACTCACCACGCCTCTGCCTCTCGGTAAAACAGAGATAAGACTTAACAAAGACTGGCACAAATTTTTAAGAGTCAGCAAGATTCTCTTGCATTTCAGTGACTTTGACTTTGAGGATTTTTAGTTTAATAATGTGACAAAGGCACTGGAAATATAAATTAAATATTATCTATAAGCCTTCTTCCTTCAATTTCTATTTCTCCAATTTACTTTTCTAATCCTCAAACCCCTCCTTTCTTTCACCCACTGGTCCTTAAAGCCAGGAGAAGCAAAAGATTTCAGGTCAGGCCTTTGTCTCTCCAGGGTTGTGAAAACCACCAACTATTCCTTTCTCCTGCTACTCATTTGTTATTCATTAAAAACCTCTCTTTATCACCCATGCATGGTTTCTGATTAATTTCCAAATGTTTAATTTTGTTTTTATGCTATCAATTCCATGATAGAGTAAAGCCTATTCTGTACACTGAAAAAGCAATTATCAAATATTTTCACTAAAACCACCAAATTTTAGAGCTCAAAAAGATGTTAATATCATCTTTGAGAACAACACGGTAATTCAACCAAAGTCATGCTCAACCCAAGTCTGAGAACCATTCTGATAAACGCTAGTAGCTTCTTCCAACACTTATGAACTGCCATAATAATCCTTTGCCTTGATGATAAGAAAATGTGGCTACTACGACTTGTTAGTGACAACAAAAAGCAAATTTCAGCAATGAAATCCTGCCATATATCTGAAATACATACCAACAGAACAAACCCAAGTTGAGGCCATCTACAATGTATTCGTCTTTCAAAATCTAAAGTAAACGAATACTTATCTTTCACGTAGTCTTTTCAGAAAGCTTTCAAGAAAAAAATATAAACTGTTCTTACCCACCATAGTGAAAAGAACCCTCTATATTATACCTTTTGTTTCTGAATTGGTGATAATTTTAATGACTTCTCATTGGAATTCAGGCTCATCATATGTGTCTGCAAGAAATAAAAAATATATGTTCTAAAAAGAATAAAGAGTATATATAAGATTATATTTACATATTCTTATATAACAGTAACAGTAATATATAGATTATATAACAGTAATATAGATATAGATATATTAGCCAGTAATATAATCTACACTCAACTGCATACTAATGATGCAAAGATCATAATTGTACTGTATGTCATCTATACTTCAATAAAATAATAAACTTATAGCATATAAAAATAACAAACAAAATGGAAGCAAACCCTTTTTAATGCAAGGAACAGCACATGTATTCAACACACAAATATGAATACATGATGAACTAAAATCCAAACATATCTATATTGATAAATAAGCAAACCAATACCATATTTAAGACATCAGTAGTTTCTCCAAGGCTTTCTGAATCTCCGGCTGAAGAATTGTCTGCCTCTTTCCCTTTGGCCATTTTATCACGAAAATAATCTGATTAAAAGGGAAAAGAGAAAACCAGCTTTCAATGGAAAATTGAAAGACAAATGGACAATAAGTTATTCTCTAATATAAAGTGCAAGCATAATTTTACTGAAGTCTTTTAACCCCATGTTAAGGGAACTGAATAGAATTCATTCACAGTGATAAGAGGTTTTAAAGTCTCTTTCTGAAAGTTTAAAGACCAGTGCTGGTGAGATAGGAACTGCTTCTTTCATATGAACAGGCAAACCTTTGGGAGAACTACTACCCAGGTATCAAGCACTGTAACAGTGAGTCCCCAAAAAGGGCCCTGGTAACCCACATCCTCCCGAGATGGGGCCCCTTATGTCATTCCTTTCCACATTTTACCAGGTAGTTCTATATGGCCAACAAAACAAAGCAGCCATAATTGTGATGTTACCACAGTTTATATGTCTGTCTTTCTTGCATCACTTTCTCTGGGGGCAAGCCATGTTAGGAGCATTCCTAGGGAGAAGCCCACGTGCTGAGGAAGTAAACCTCCTGCCAATGGCCATGTGGGGCAGCACGGAAGAGCATCCTACAGCCCCAGTGGAGCCTTCGGGTGACTCCAGCCCCATCTGACAGCATGATTGCACCTGCATGAAACGCCCTGAGCCAGAACCCCTCAGCTAGGCTGCTCCTCAATTCTTGACCCTCACAAACTATGTGAGATGAGTTTTAAGGCCACTTGTTACATGAAAAATCAGATAACTAGTACAAGCACCTAGAAATGTTCATGGAAAACTACAAGATTATGTCATCGAGCAGGTAACTAAAACTTAACGAGCTCTCCCTGATCTTACATTTTTCTCAATTACTACAACCCCGTTTAGCACCCACATATTTGAGAGGAGCTCCTAAAAGAAGTCCTTGCTAAAAACGCCAGTCCCCACTGATCTTGCCGTTGTAAATTCATTCAGTGCAAAGGAGCAAATGATCCATTTGTGCTTATTTCGTGTGCGGCACTATGTGCAAGATAATCAACTTAATTCACGGCTCACTCTGAATGAGCTTATCATCTAAAGGGAATATAAAATAGAGGATACACTGGCATGAGAAATCACATCCAAATGTTGGGAATCAGGAAATGTTTCACGAAAGAGGTGCGGGGAAGAGTGAGTAGAATTCTGGGAGGTAGAAGTGGACAGAGAAGGAAGTGAAGCCCCGTGCTAACAGAAGCAGCAGCAATGGCTTGTACTAATGATTGGCCATGTGCTGGGAATACATGCTTTCACACATGTCACGTGACCTCCATGACAACAAGAGAGGTAAGCAGAGTGTCCCCACACTTCATAAAGGAATAAATGAAGTGCCAAGTGTCGGTCTCCGGTTTGTCTTGACTTTACAGCCTTTTCTACCAAGTGTGACTATGAAGAGTTCTGATCAAAATTAAGAGTTGGGAAACTTTCCCTATAAGAGGCCATCTAGTAAATATTTCAGGCTTTGTGGCCGCATAGTCTCCGTCCTAATGACTCAAACTCTGCCGCTGTGGTGTAAAAGCAGCCATAGGCACTACATAAAGGAATCGTGTGACGGGGTTCCAATAAAACTTTGTTCATAAAAACAAGTGGCTGGCTAGACATGGCTCACTTTACAGACCTGTGACCTGCATTAAGGTTATAAGAAAAAGATTACTGAGAGATGGAGCTACAAAAGCAGGTGGTAGTTACATGGGGAAACTCACATTTATTTTCACAAATATTATGGATATCAGAAGCCACTGGAGCAGAGGAGAACTAAAACTGTGCCTGAGGAAGATTAATGTAGAAAGTTCTCAATGGGATAGACTGGAGAGGGCCGAGAATGGAGGTTTGGAAAAATCGATAGTAGATCACTGAAGCTCACGGCCTTGCCTTATACTTGACTAAGAAAACAGAAGTCATCAGACCTGATCTGCCTTATCTTCCCCCCCAACAAATGTACACACTTACTTCCATTTTCCTGTTGAAATATAGGATGTGTCTTTCCTCTTACCAAAGACCGCTCTGTATGCCAACACCACTGTGATGTTCATGTTCATTCTCTCTCTTTCTCTCTCTTGTGCTATCTGTCAGTCTGGGACTACTGGCTCACATCCATTAGCATACAAAAATGCTCTACTATTTCCCATTGACCCTGCATTTCCCTCCAGCTGCCAGCCCTTTTCTCTTCTCCTCTTAGTGACCAAAATTGGCAAAGGAATTTTCTACATTCATACCTCAACTCTTTGCCCTCTGGCTTCTGCTCTTATCTTCCCCTGAAGCTACTCTTGTCAAGATCAAGGACACTCTCCACAAAGCCAAATCCATGGGATGCTTCTTTGAGCTCTCTCCTTGACCTCTGACCAGTACTTGGAATTCACGACCCAACTCTTTCCTGGTTCCCTTCCTCTTACCCTTCTAGCTGGTGGGGCTGAGGAAAGTTTCTTTGCCACCAGCTCTTCCTCCCCTACCCTCAAAATGTTAGATGTTCTTCGGGTCAAACCCTGGGCTCTCTTCTCTTGCTACTCTGCTATCTAACAGGTGTTTTCACCAAGTCCCACAGATTGTAAATACCAATTCTGTGTTGTCGGGTTCCCAATGTATCTCCCTGGTTCAGACCTCTCTTCTGAACTTTAGGCTGGCATCTTCAACTGCCTCCTCCATATTTCTACTTCAATGTTTTGCAGGTATCTCAAGCTTGATTTTTTTTTCCCTCAAGCTTGTCAACCATGCTCTTGCCTAGGAATCATTCTGGATTCTTCCATTTCCTTCACCTCCATGTGTAAATTCAGCTAGTTCTAGGTCTCAAATGCACTTCCAATCTGCCCCCTTCTCTCCATCTTCACAGCAACCTGGACCAAACACCATCCTCTCTTGCAATGGGCTCTTAAGTATGCTTCCTACCTTTAGTCTTTCCTCCCTACAATCCACACAGAGGCAAAAGTGAGCATCTTAAAATGTAAACTGGACTGGAGCACATCACTCCACTGATTAAAAACCTTTAATGACTTTCTATTGCACTTAAGAAAAACACTCAAACAGGCTTCTCACGGCCTATAAAATCATGAATACTTTTCTCACTCTTTTCTCCAACATCTTGTCTAGCCTTTTCCTGCACTCTCTAGCTCCAACAGTCATCTTTCCTTTTCTTATAAACTGCCTCCAAACCTTTGCCTCTATTATTTTCTTTGCCTAGAATGCACATAACCTCTCTCTTCATGTGGCTTTCTTATCCTTTATGTTTTAGTTTAAATGTCACCTTCTCAGCAAGGTCTTCCCTGACCTTCCTCCCTCCACGATAAACACTGAAGTCTGCAAGTAATTTAGAAGAGGTCCTGTTATATGTTAGATATAACTTGCAGAATACTTTTAAGACAGTTTCAGCAAACAGTCACAAAAAGATAAGGAATAGCTTTTCCTTTGGCTCTAGCTATAAAACTCTGTATATGTTCATATTCAGATCTCTTGAAGTGGGAAACAACTTCCTCCAAACCACAAACTTCTCTTTTCCTTGTACACACTGTTGCCAAACTCCACTTTTTCCATGTACAGGCCTGAAAGGTGTCAGTGACGCTTACCTCAAAGCAAAGCATAAAAAAGTTCTCTGTGAGATGCAAGGAACTGGCTCATTATCAGGGGCGCCTGGGCAGCTCCGTCGGTTAAGCCTCTGACTCTTGGTTTTGGCTCAGGTCATGACCTCAGGGTCCTGGGATCAGCATGGATCATATTTGAGATCCTCTCCCCCTACCCCTCCCCACACTCACACACTCTCTCTCTCTCTCTCAAAATAAATAAAATAAACGTTTGGAAAAAATACAGTAAGAAACTGGCTCATGATCAAGGTTCTAGTTGTAGATAATATTCTATTCCCACGGTGCACAATTCTTGCTTTTACTACCTCAACTTTTGATCCCAAAGATACTAAAATTTATCTGTGCCATGGTTCTTAATCCCAGGTGCCCAGATCATCTTAATTCCAAACCTACTGTTTATTCTAATCTCTTGACCCTGGCTTCTTGTCCCGCTCCTACTATTCAAGCATGTGCCCTGCAGTAACACATACACACTCTTAAGATACAAAAATGCCTGTAAACAAAATTCTTTACAAGAGGTGTATAATAACTGAAGAGCTGGGATTACAATTTAAAATATAATGTGTATCTATAAGGCAGTGAGGTAGAAGTGTTAATAATAACCAACTATAAAGAGCTTCCTAGAAGTGCTAGGCTCAATGCTAAGTATTTTATATACCTTATCTCATTTAACCTCAATCACTCTAGAGGAATATTATTATACCCACTTTAAAGACAGGAAAACTAAGGGTTAGAGGAATTAAGTAACTTTCCCAAAGTCATTCACATAGTTAATAAATGTCAGGGATGGCATCTGACCCTAGCTCTATTTAACTCCATGCCCCATGCTCTTTTTTTCTTTTTTGTCTTCTTTTTCTTGAGAGCGCGCGTGCGCGTGCACACGCATGCATACAGGTGGAGGCAGGGGAGGGTTAGGAGCAGAGCGAGAGGGAGAAAATCTTAAGAGGGCTCCATGCTGGGCAGAGCTCAATCCCACAACTCCAAGATCATGACCTGAGCTGAAATCAAGAGTTAGAAGCTTAACCAACTGAGCCACCCAGGTGCCCCCATATCCCATGTTCTTGACCCCTACGGTATACGGCCTAAATGCAAGACTTCACATAGGTCCAGAAGATCCACATTCAAATCTGACTCTCTTCATTTATAAGCTGAGTGACCTTGGCCAAGTCACTCAGTCTTTTCAAGCCTTGCTTCTCTCATCTACCAAAATGAAGAGTTTAGAACTCCCACGGATTTCACGGAGTTGCTTCGGGTTTAAAGGAGATAAGGTAAGAGAAGGTATTAAATATGCTATGCATTGCTCTATAAAAATATGCTGCTATTGTTATGGGGTTTTTAGGGTCACTAGTGATGCTTTGTATTTATAAGAGTAATCTGGACTGGAACTCGAATGAGAGATGTCAGCCTCCAACTAGGAAGAAAACAATTTAATTTGCAAGAACATCCTAACATAAATATGACACTAATAGGAATAAAAGGGACCCTTTTCCTGGAGCAGACAGGGTATCAGCGGTTACCTGGTTCCGCTGGTTGCACGGGGTCCTCCTTTTCAAGTATCATTTTCCCTGGCCAATTACCTGCAGACATATAGAAAGGAACTGGGGTGGGGGAAAAGCTAACAGGTGGCACAGAAGTTCCTTCAATTGGAGGTAGTGTTCGTGTCATTTGAAAAGCATCAGGCGATCTCTCCTTAAAATAAACAGGTTAAATAAACTGTTACATGATATTATATGTTTAGTATTGACAGAAACTACCCCCCCAGCTGCTAAAAATATTTAAGAGAGACTTCAAAGTTGCCCACTGTCCCACATTCATCTTTAAATTATCACCAAGGACACAAAAATGTTTTGCTCTGTCATCTCTGTATCTAAGTTGCTCTAAATTGTTAATTTAGAAGCCCATTTTTCACACAATGGGTAAAAATGTATATTCTCTCTGCTTTCCTTAGGAAACAAAAAACTAGTCACAAGACCTAAAAAACAATAACTACAAAATACTGCTATTTCTCAGTCTTTCCATATATACTTTTTCACAACCAAAAGCCAAACTTAACCTTTTTACTTCCAAGGGAATATGTTTTGGAACTTAAAGTAACTTTTTAAAAAAGGAATGTCTCCTTTAAATATTATTTGGCATTTTCTTTTTGGTTTTTAAATACAAGTGCCACTGAAACAATAATTTTAAAGCAGAATGAGAACCTCTAAATTTAAGCGAGAAAGAACATTCCCTATCTTGAACTGCAGCCCTTATTTCTGTTTCCCACATTTCATTGTTTATAGTGTATACCCTTCCACGGCTCACGAGGTGTAACTAGAAGATAAAAAGCAAAGTAAAAGTCAATCCATATAGAGTTGAGAAAATAATTCAGCATTCAACTTGAAGCATGAAGATAGGCCTCTAAAAGGATGCTTTGTATCTTTGCTTTGTATCCACTCTCTATTAAGTCAAGGTTATCAATGATTATTTGAATTTTCTCACTTGTGTGTTGAACAGCTTAACTCTGAATCTGCTTTAAGTTTGTAGGCCTCCAACTCTAACCATTTTATTTAGTAAATCTATCTTAAAAGACCCTTTTTGGTTTAAAAAGAAAATGAATTTTTTTCCATTCTGTTTGCAGTGCCATGTTATAGAACTGGCCACAAGCCTATACCCTCTCTCTTCGTCGCACACGTGCTGGTAGAGTTCTGTGCAGTACACTGCCTGAGCTCAGATCGCTGAGGAGCAGAGAAGGCGCTTCAGGAAAGTAAGAATCGTTGATTTCTTCTAACTCCAATTCTTCTGTCCCGCCGGGTCGAGGAGTGGCAAAAACAAGTGTGTGGCATCCACCACAAGCCACCTGTAGCATAAAACCACAGATTTGATTAATCAACATTGGTTTCAAACACAAATGGGTTTTTAACAGTTTTCAGTTACAAAACATTTACTTAGTGGTAAACTTCCTAGGTAGTCAGCCATCTCCCCTCCTCCCAAATACACACACACACACACACATACACACACACACACGTGTCTTCTTTAAACACTACAATTGAAAATTAGAACAAGTTTACACACCATTTTCCTTCCAATTCTGTTTCTCCTCACAAACTTGAGAAAATGCTATTTTAATCTGAGAGTAACATGAACACCTTGAAAAAAATCACCCAGAGAAGTTCTACTTGGAAAAAAAGTGATCCAAGAGGAAATCAACCTCTTGGGATAATTTTATCTCCAAACCTTTTTCTTTACATGAACACTTTTGAAGTTCAATGCTTTAAAGTCCTTAGAGCAAAATGTAACCATGCATGATGGTGGAACATGAAAATTAAACCAACATTCAAAGAATTTTGAGAAATAACTGATTTTCAATAAAATGCCTAAAAAACCATTGTGTAGTATTTGTAATACACAGATTTTTTTAAGCAACCTTATAGTGTTCTTCACAGTAGTTATAAGAACGCATACTCTGAACCTTTCCTTCATAACATTGTAAAATTATTTTAAATAATTTTAAATAAGACTATTTTAAATTAGACTATTTTAAATAAGACTCAGTAATGTCTAATTCAACAAATATTTATAGGTGATTGTCAGATACTCTGCTGGCTGCTGGAGGAGACAACAAGCTTTCAGGCATGGCACAGTTCTGGTTCTCAAGAGACACAGGGGAGCAAAGCAGGAGAGTCAAGATTAGGGTGAAAAGGACAATGTTCAAAGGAGAATTAGGAAAGGGACAGATTTTCTGACTGGCATGATGTCTGACATTTGGCTTTTAGGAAATGAGTATACTCATTAGATATAGCCATGATATTCTTTCACACAGACATAAAAGTACCTATTTTCTATGAAATACTATAAGACTCAAATATAGGAATATGACAATGTAAACAGGGAAATGTGATGTCCTTACCAATTGAACTATAAATCTCAAAAAATTGGAGCACAAAGTGGGAATGAACTGATTGGTAAAATTCTCCAGTCCAAGTCCTAATTTTCCATGTCGACCATCCCCAAAAGTATACATGAGACCTAAATCTAAAATGCAAAAAAAAAAAGAGAGAGAATTATAAAGACTTACTTGTATGGACCTATTTGTAAATAAATATATTTACTTATTTCTTACGTTGCAATTATAATTTCCCCCTCAAATGCTGCACCAAGTTTACTCTGATCCATTGATATTTCCACACTCTCTATGGTCTCTGTGGTCCCGCACATAACACTAGGCAATAGATACTCTGAGAATAAATCACTAAGCCATTGGTGGTTTGTGAATTTGAAGCCCAGTCGTGTGAGGACTGTGTGGAACAGCAGCAACCCAGCATGAGCTATCTCTAGATACACACCATCTTCTCCGGGGGAAGGAGATTTTTGGAGTCTGACCCCCTATGTCCCAATACAATCTAGTGGAAAAACACTGAGGTCTCTCAACCTTGGCACCCCGGACATTTAGTGCCAGGTAATTCTCGGTTGTGTGGTAATTCTCTGTCCTGTGCCCTACAGGATGTTCAGCAGCATCCTTGGCTCCTACCTACTAAATGTCCATAAAACGCCCTGCCTCTGCAGTTGGAACAATCAAAAATGTCTCCACTGTTGTGCGTCCCGGGGCAACAAGATGGCCACTGGTGGAAAACTAGTGGCTTAGATCAATCCAACTGTCTCTTTCACCAGTTCAGCTCTGGGGCTGTGGAAGCTGCTCAGGGAAGTGCCGTAAATCGACCCCAGTGACTAGCCCCCATGGCAATGGCAAGGCCTCTACGGTCCACAATAATGTAAGGGGTCTTCCTGCTGCTCTCCAGTTCACCCCTCTGCCCACTGCCAGAGCAACTATTCCAAACCTTCAGTACTCTTCTCACCCACTCTCTCAATTGGCGGAAAGTGCCATGGAAGCAGAAGGAAGGAAAGGAGGCCAGGATGGTTGCCGAAGAGGGGGAGTTTCCTTCTGGTCTGGGGATTAGGGAAGGCTTTTAAAAACAGACCTGAAGGATGATTAGGATTTTAGCTGCAGGAAAACACATACAAATGCTTTGAATCAAGAGAGAACATAACACAGTCAAGAAACTGAAAGGCAACCAGTGTGCTTGGGGCACAAAGGGGAAAGAACCATAACACAGAGAACCCTGTTGGTTCATATTGAGAATTTCTGAACTCCATCTTAATGGCGATACATTGAACGAATGGTTTTAAGCCAGGAAATGGTAAGATCACATGTGGGAACTTCTAGTTTAAGATGGCAAAGTAATCTCATACTAAGAAAATCCAAGAGAACCAAAGGAAAAATGCTGAGAAATAATAACATAATTCAGTAAGTGTCAAGCTCAGAAATTAATACAGAGGGGCGAATGGGTGACGTGGTCGGATAAGTGTTTGAGTCTTGGTTTCAGCTTAGGTTGTGATCTCAGAGTCAGATGAGATTAAGCCTGTGTTGGGCCCTGTGCTCAGCACGGAGTCTGCTTCAGATTCTCTCTCCCTCTGCCCCTCCTGCTTGTGAACTTGTTCCCTCTCACTCACCGCTCTTTCTCAAATAAATAAATCTTTAAAAAAACTAATAGGCAGAAAAGATCCCCTATTAATAAACAATAACCAGTATTTAAACCCCAAATTTAGACTCTTAGAATTCTTATCATCAGCTACTTATTTCCCTTCTTTATATACATTCCTTATCATTCTTTTCTCTTCTTCTTCCTCTTTTGACCCTTGATTTCTTTACCCAAAGTGCTAATTTTTAGGCTTTGTGTTTTAACTTGATTATCTTTAGCCAGAAAAGATAAACTCTGATCCAAGCTACCTGATTGCACTTCCAACTTGAAAACTTTTGTAAACCACGAGTCACTGGCTACATAATGTGGAACTGGTAAGAACTTACAGATAACTCACTACACACCTCTCATTAGTCCTGGAAAAAAATTCATAACACCTTTCTCCTGAGGAAGCTTTATGAGCAAAAAGTAAGCAAAAATAATGTTCAATTGTTTGTGCTATAAGTTCTTTCATCAGGGGAAATAGTAGTATGAAAGTTTAACCAAATAATCTAATTGTGTGTTAGATGAGCCATAAAAAGTATGTATTTCCCATCAATGGCAATTTAGGGTTGATGAAAAACAGCAGTTTAAGGACAGTGAATTGACATTAGGACCTTGCAGTAAGGGATACATATCAACAATTCTTCCGGGACTATGAATGAATAATAATTCTTTACATTCTATATAGTTCTATTTCATGCTATATTAACATGGACATTGACACTTGAAAATGGGCAGGTAGTTCTCTCTGAAAGGCTCTTTGGGGAAGGAGGAACAGTGTATGGTAGTATACGTTGTATTTGTGGATTACTAGTTGCCCCAACTAGATACCATTAGATGAGTTCCATTTAGCAGTAGCTTTTTTAGAAAGAAGGAAACAAATGGAGAAATATTAGTATCTCGTTTATTTCAAAATACTCTATAATTTCTGCCTTTTTAATGCTTTACTTCATTTGCAGATAGAAACGTGAGATAGAAATCGTGAATTACAGGGGCTTTTGTTCCAAAGCAATCACAACTGTGGAGTCTATCAATTACCTACAGGGAAGTGAGTTATTTCTAGAGGAGACTCTTTACTGAGTCCATATTAGCAGCACCTAGTTTTTGAGGTTGAGAAGTAGGCCCAAAGCAGTGTCTCCCTGGATAAAGAAGAAAGTACAGAGTAAAGGGTCTAGGGGAGCCAGGTATCTGCCTAGTGCCCTTTGAGGTGCCTTTCTCTCCCTGCGGAGGAAGTAGCGAAGTCACTCCTAAAAACGCCTCCTAGAGGCAAAAGCTTCACAGGCATTAACTCAGCCTGTACGTAGCTGGGTCAGACTGAACATGGAGAACGTTTCAAAAGTTCTTTCCTGTAAGACTTTTCCCTCTGGCCTGAGCAGAGTTAAGAGCCTTCAAACTGATGCAATTTCAAAAAGATTCCAGCCTTCTGCCAAAGTATAATATTATGATATTACCTCTGACAGCACTGACTTGTTTTGAGGTTCTAATCTTTGGATCATTTACACTGATTTGAAATTGAACTAAAATATTAAAAAAGAGTTTACGATTTTACACTTTGGCATATTAAACAAGAACTTCCATTTTCTCAGTCACTGATTCCTTTGCTTACGCTAGATACATTCATTCCACACAGTTTGTATTTTGTAGTAAAACATACCCCATTCTAGATATATGTAACAGAAATTCTCATCTGTACCTGTTATCAGAGCTGTGTGATTTTCTCCACAGGAAATAGAACTTATTTTCTGATCTGTAATATGCTCAATGACTTTGGGTACTGAAGTTTCAAAAAGAAAGGTACCAAGACCCAGCTGACCAAACTGTCCGAGCCCAAAGGTATACACGGCTCTCTCTGAAAGGGAATAAGCAAATATGAGAAAAAGATTGCAGGGAAGCAGAAACTGTCACCGTCATATCTAGAAAACTGTGACATTCAAACTTTCATAATGAAAGTTAGGTGCCTCTGAAATATCCGTGTAAGAATACCGAATACTTAGGTATACATTCTCAATGATGAAGGAGAAGAAAAAAGTTATGGCATGGGCCTGATTTTACCTTTAACATATAACCATAAAAAGAGTTGCTAAAGACACATCAGTCAGTGAACTACCTAACATGTCCCTATAATTACCACTTAGCTCTTTAAAAATAGCATCAGTTGTCATTAAGCTAATTCCTTTCATTGCCTTAAAAGGGGGGGCGGGCAGTGGGGCACCTGGGTGGCTCAGTCGTTAAGCGTCTGCCCCTCATGTCATGATCTCAGAGTCCTAGGATCCAGGATCCCTGTTCAGTGGGAAGCCTGCTTCTCCTTCTCCCACTTCCCCTGCTTGTGTTCCCTCTCTCGCTATCTGTGTGTGTGTGTGTGTGTGTGTGTGTGTGTGTGTGAAATACATGAATAAAATCTAAAACAAACAGAGTAGTGTTTCCTACAGAAAAACTCCTACTTCTCAAAAATAGTTTAACAGAACAATCTATTTTGTAAAACAATTTCAGAGGAGAATTTGCATGAGAATTGAAACTCACTGTAGATATGCTTGATTAACTCACAGGAAAAGCTCTTTTACTAGGAAGTGCAGTAATAATGAAAGGGGGACAAAAGCTTTTCCTTTATATTAATGTTTTTTAAGTGACTCCAAAGGACCTCCAATAACTTATCAAACATTAGCTCACATGTTCTCGAGAGACGGAAAAGCACAAAAACAGGATAAGTGAGTGGTGATGAAAGGGTCCCTTTAGACACACAACTCTGGCTGGCCCTGAGTCAGGAAGCATGGTCTCTTCTCCAAAGCCCGACACATCAGCTTTCCATGCTACAGAAGGAAGAGGAAGAGCTTTGGTTTCGGGGAGGAGTCCACACCTCCATTATTACTAGAGGGGGAAAGCAGGCCAGTTACCTAAACTCTCTGATGTTATAATTCCTCTCTAACAGAGTTGCTGGGAGGCTTACATGAAAAAACATTCAGGCAGATTTTAACACACACTAGGACATTTTGTTTTAAGAACATTTCTCTAAAAACTAACTAATCAACTCATCTCATTTCTGACAGTGGAGGATCCTGATGAACACATAACTATCTACTGTCATATGGTTTTACATTCTTCCTGTCTAATAAACACTTACTTCACAAATAAGACAGAGAGCTCATACCTCTTAAAGAAAACAGGCTGTGTCAAGGATATGAAGCCACACTGAGGCTATGGCAAAACATCCTTATTTTAATGTAAAAATTAGTTTAATAACCGCATGGCATGTCACCAGTTCTGAATGTCGGGTGAACAGTAGAATGCTGGGTAAATGAAAACAAGTGTCCATCTCTAGCTGGCCAATGACCACTTTAGGTTACGTGGGCTATCTGAGATGAGCCTATGAAATGAGGCCATTTAGGCAGCCTGAATCACGTGATAAAAGTTTTGCTCCTTACCCTGTTGGGTTTGCTTTCAGGTACTTGGCTGATCAGCAGCAATGACACTTTTAAAAAATGTTTTAATTATTTTTATTAATGCATAATGTATTATTTGCCCCAGGGATACAGATCTGTGAATCGTCAGGCTTACACATTTCACAGCACTCACCATATCACATGCCCTCCCCAATGTCCATAACCCCACCACACTCTCCATACCCCGCCTCCCCCCAGCAACCCTCAGTTTGTTTTGTCAGATTAAGAGTCTCATGGTTTGTCTCCTCTCTCTTTTTTAATGACCTAACACTCTTTTTTTTTTTAAACATGTAACAACTAATATAATTTTTGGTCTTATCATCTTTTTAACATTTAACAATGTAATTCGATGCTGACAAATGATACCCTATTAGGAAAACAGGTTTTAGTAGGTGGCTTCATATGAATACTACTCTGGTTTCTCAGAATACATTTGATTTCATGAACAGTAACTTGTTGCCCTGTAGAGATCATGAGTTTGTCCATATATAATCTAGAGGGGAGCCTGGGTGGCTCAGTGGGTTAAAGTCTCTGCCTTCAGCTCAGGTCATGATCCCAAGGTCCTGAGATCGAGCCCCACATCGGGCTCTCTGCTCAGCAGGGAGACTGCTTCCCCCCCACCTCTCTCTCTGCCTACTTGTGATCTCTGTCAAATAAATAAAAAAATAAAATCTTTAAAAATATATATAATCCAGAGAAGGTAAATTCTTATTTTTCCTTGGGATCCAGACTTCGTTGTGGACCCTATCTTACAACCAGGACTTTCTTGGCTTTTGCTAATGCTGACGAAGACATACGAGATTACATCTATCACTCTGCCTCACTTACCCTTTCTCAGCAGTCCATTGTTTCCCTGATTCAAAGGAGAAACTAATCATAGCATCGCCACAACCAGTAGTTTAATTTTCTCACCTCTTATGGTCACATGGAGTATTACATTTTAAATAAATTCACTGGCAATGAACTAATTTAAATTATATTTGAAGTATTTTTATGAATGGTACCCAGAAAGATTTTAAGATCAGAGTTATAGACAAAAGGAAAAACAATGCTAGGGAAGGCCCCCCATAAAATCATCTTATTCAAACCCTTTCCTTTGGTGAAGGGAAAGATCTAGAACAGATGGTTAGCTATTCTTTCATTTAAGGTCCTCAAAGTATCCTATAACTCTTAGGTATTCCGTTTAGTACTTAGTCAAACTAATAATCAGTATGTGCTTCAGGTCCATTTCTTCATCAGTTAGGACTATTATATCCATACTGTACTCCAGAACACAGCTTTCTCACAAGGGCTGGCTCGTAATAAGGCTCTCACAGGTCCATGGGGAAATGTGAAAAATAGGCAAAGCAGTAAATTTTCCATAGAGATAAGTGAATATAATTTAAGAGGGTGTCTTTTACAATAAAATTGAGAGCTCCTTAATTTTTATTTTGAAATGCCCCTTTATTTATGATATAATGGTGAAAAGGTTGCATTTGGCCTACAATGCCCTCATTTAGTCAAATGCAAATCAGAAGATCAAAACCATCTGTTGGTCTTCATATTTGTGTCACAAGATTAAAAAACTTAAAATACAATAACTTTACTAGTCTGTGAGATCCCAAAGTCTGCAAAAATCTAGAGAGAATAATTTCTGGCAACATAGTTTTTAACCTCAAAATTAAGTCCACAGAAAGCTAAACGTCTATAATATTAAAAAAAAAAAACACCCCACACTTCTGTGTATTTTAAACTTCTAAGCATAATTAAAAGTATCATGGATTATCTGGGTATTCATTTTATGTAACAATACTTTATAATATATAGTTGAGATGTTATTTTTATATAATCGACATTTGTGTTCTTTAGAATAACCTTCAGTCACCTAATAATGTTTGTTTGAACTAGAGAAATTATAGAACACATAAAGAGTAAGTTGAACTTCTGCCTATAGCATGCATTTTCAGATAATTTATAAAGATTAATTTCTAAGTTTAATTCCTAAAATAAATCTTCTCAAAAATATATGAAAATCCATTTTGTTAAGAGAAATTCAAAGAAATCGTAAACCTCAGAATTATTTCCAAATATAGAATGGAGGCCTTGGAAAGAAATTATTTCTAACTTGGAAACAGATTCCATCTGGGAATTGTAATTCTGGGAAATCACCACTTAAAAAGCATGACTTGGACTAGAACAAAAAGTCAAGGAAAAGCGATGTAAGAGAGGAAAACCAAAAGATAAAAAATATCGCACAATCACCTAGCAACATTAAGCATATCATCTGAGAACTGGGTATTATTCAAAATTTGCCTACAACACTGCGAACTTTGGGTTACTGAAGATTAAGTGGTGACTTCAGAAACTTGTTAATTTCTTTCGGACCAAAAAAAATATAACAATTCTCTAGATGTATTCCCTGTACACTACTCAAATTAATGCCAAACAAATCTGGAGGCAGCGATTCAGTCAGCATGTTATCAAGTAGTGTGTATATCTTACCAGATGGACTGGAACCCTGAAAAATGACATGTCATACCAAATATAACATTCAGAAGTCAAAACTGACATTGCTAATAAGGTTCTAACTTTCTTTTATTATCTGTAATTTAAAATCTTAACACTTTTTGCTGAATTACTATAATAGAACATAAAAATGCAAAAGAAATTACCAAGTTTTATATTCTTAACATCAGAAAGAGAAGAATTATCAATGACATGTAGAAAATAGCATGAACAGGGGAAAGAAGGTATTTCAGGAAAAATTATACCAATTTTAGATAAATACAGAACACACACACACACACACGAGGAAAACAGTCTATCCTTGAAAACAAGCTAAAAACAATTATCTTCTGCCAATAAACATGTGAAGATCATGAAAATGTCCATTATGTTGGCAAAAACAATTCCACAAGATTTTTTTTTCTACTTACAGTTTTCTTCCATAGGCCAAAGATGTGTAGTAACTATGGAAATCAAAGCTAGAGATTTTAATGAAAAGAGATGCAAGGCCAGTTTGTAAGCTCCTAGAAGCACAGACTAGGATGGTGGCGCCAGGGGCTGGGAGGGGGAAAGGGGTGCCCCTCATCAATGGGGATAAGGTTTCAGCTTTGTAAGATAAGGTCTAGAGGTCTGCTGTACAACACGGTGCCTATAGATAACAATACCGTATTAAAGACTTAAAAATCTGTGAGGAGATTGGATCAGATGTTGAGTATTTTATCCCAAAAGAAGAAAATGAGTGTAATTTTTTTTTTAGTAGCCACCCCAGAAAGCAGGGAATGGAGCAGCAGAAGCCACACGTACCTGTGAGAACCACGGTGTGCCCTCCACCACAAGCTACTTGGACCACCTTTTCAGGAATTCCAGGCACTGGCTGGGGCATTCTGTGATTGACCAGCAGCTGATTGGGAAGACCTAACTTCCCAGACTCTGGTTCTCCAAATGTGTACAGTTCTCCCTCTGCTGTTGGAGGAAAAGAACAATGATCAAGGATGGCATAATTATGGACAAAATACTAGTATTTGGGGTATACATTCTCAAGTTCAATAAAAAATTTAGAAAATGACAACTTGATCAGTTTACACTTCCTTAAGGTATTTTTACTGGATGGTAAGGAAATAAAGCTAAGATTTTCTTTTCTCCTTGATTATGCTAATCCAATTTCTTTATGAATTCACGACCATCGCTACAAATGAAGTAGAAAATGATTTTAGCTGTTTCACACAGAAACCATCTTACTTCTTCTACTTCCTTTTACAGTAAAGCAAAAAATGACTAGACACTAAGCCTCCATTAGGACATGGATTTTGTCTTGTTCACTTGGGTATTCCAAGAACCTAGCAATGTCTGGTATACAAAATATTCAATGAATGCTTGTTAAATAAATAATTGCTTTTATGAAACTGGTTTTAAGGAAATGCATTTCTGTGTGAATATGTTGACTGAGCCTTAAAATAGCAGATTTTGCTCAATTCAATGGCACTTCCTCCAGATTCTCTTTTATCAAGGAACTCATGATGTTTAATCACTGTCTCGTCCATACCAACACTACTAACTTGCTGTCTTATTATACTTATCACACTACGACTATGAGCTTCTTGAAAGCAGGAACTTCTTAGAATTCATTTCTATGAACTGAATGGAGTTCTACAAGCAAGAATTTAAAAACCTTTGTAGATATATAACCTAATCTGACACAGAACCTGTCGCCATTCATGTCAGGAGAGAGGTAACACAGTAAATCTGTTGTTTATTATGTATTTATTTGCATGTCTCTAAGAGAACAATGATTGGTCACTGACCAACCCCTGGGAATGTGGCCCTTGGAGTGTTATGTTAGTGACTGATGATTTTGTTTTGTAACCCAAACAGCAAATTACGCCAGCTGAGGTCCTTAAGGTTGCTTTGAACAACCATCAAACCTGATGATGTACACTTGGTTTCATTGTTAAGGGATCAGAGTTTCAGTCGCGGTGAGTAGTTGCTAGCAGGGTGTGCCTACCCAATCAGCACTCCCACACAGAAGCCAAAGACCCTGAGAAGAGTGGGCTTCTCTGGGCAGGGACATTATGCACACATCCCTGTAGTTCAAAGCATGTCTTGTGCCGCAAAGAGTAAGGACTAGGAAGTGTATGTGAAACTACCCTGGAGGACATAGATCTCCTTCCAGCCGTTTTTGCTCTGTATCCTTTGCTGTGATAAATCTTAGCTGTGAGTAGAACTCAAGCTATTGCAGCTTGAGAGTCCTCCTAGCAAAACAGAACTTAGGGAGGTTGTGGGACATCCAACACACATAGTATGCACCACTGAAAACTTGGTCAAATACTACAAACCCAGCCCTACTGATTTTCTGGAGTGCTCTGCACAGAAAATGAAATTTTTTGAAGCACAGCTTTCTAAAAAGTATTTAGCACCGGCACCGAAATGCTCTTCTGGCTCCCTTCCTCTTTTTCCCATGCCTCTTGCCTCGGATATGAAAGGAGTTACTAGGTCCAGATGAGTTTCTTTTCACTTTTGTCTATAAATTCCTGCTGCTCCTCACACCTTAACATGGGTGAATTGTATGGTACGTGAGCTATATATGTCAATAAAGCTGGTTTTGTGTATGTTTTTTTTAATTTTTAAAATTTTAATTTTAGTATTAGTTTCAGGTATACTATATAGTGAGTCAACACTTCCATACACCACCAGGTACTCATCATGACAAGTGCCCTCCTTAATCCCCTTCACCTATTTCACCCATGCCACCTACCGGCCCCCAACCATCAGATTATTCTCCACAGTTAAGAGTCCGATTCTTAATTTCTCTTTTTTTCCCCTTTGCTCGTTTGTCTTCTTTCTTAAATTCCACCCCATAAAGCTGTTTTTTTTTTAAAAAAGGCATAAATATAAACAAAACAAAAAAGCCCCATGTAATGCCTGTTGGCTACAATGAGCAATTCCTTGTTTTCCTACTGGCTGAAAGTAGAGTTTAGTCATAAAATTGAATTTGTCAGTTTTGTTAAAATCTAAATAAGACAATGCTCTTGCTTGGGATTTTTGTGTTTTTCCGTTTGTGTTTTTGTTTGTCTCATAAACAAAGTGAGCGCTACACCAATCCCAGGAGCCAGAAAGTTGCCAGTAAGTTGGTAGGTAGCACTGCCCCAAGGAACACAGTTAATTGTTCATTCACTTATTCCCTCATTTGATGATATTTATTATTAGTTTGTCCAAGATACAAGCTGATAGAGTGGCAAACAATGGCAGCTGAGTCAGAGTTTGCCCTCTCTTGGTACCATGGTGCTACCTACCCAATTCACCGGTAAATCTGAGGGCCACAGGAATGGGTCAGTCAGCATTTTCTAAATCTGAATCTGAGGAGCACAGAATGTATAACAAAGACTTAGAGATCTCTAAAAGGGGCCAGAAAACTACTTCCTCTAGGTGTTTTTGCTGTTAAAAAAAAACCACCAATAAGATGGAATGATCATACTTCTACCACTCTCTGTGTAGACACAGACTCTAACATTTCAAATATTTAACTAAGGCAGATAAAGGTTGCCAGGGAGCCCCAGAAAGGGAGAGATTGGGGATGCTAAGCAAAGTTCGGCAAAGGAAATCCTGTCTCATACTGAGCAATCTTCCCTTTCCACCTACTCTACATCCCTGCTCTCACAATGGAAGTCTATGACTCCCTTACTGAACCAATAAAAGCAAATTGGCAGGACAAGAGTAGACGAGGTCTAAGTACAGAGGCAAGTGCACCCAAGGGAAAGTGGCCCCTAGATCTCACTTCCAATGTCAAGCAATCCAAGAAGTTGAGAACCAAGGTTTAGAAGTTTGTAAGATACACATTTTGCTTTTCTAATATTCAGTAAAAAAGTTAACGTCTCAGAGAAAGTAAACTCTTATTATTAAAATGTAGAAAACAGTGTGACCCCAAATGGACCACAATTATTTCATTACAGACTGCCATGGCATTATTTCCACAGTATGGTAGAGAGTTAGATTTTATTATCAATTGAGTAAACACTTAGAAATAGGAGGTAACATGATGAATCCAAAATGTTCTGTCTTACTTGTTACAAAAGCTGAATGGTAATATCCACAGGAGATCCAGGAGATAGGTTTCCCAACGGTCACTTGTTGAGGGATACACACATTAGTTATATTTTTTAAACCAATTTGCCCTTCGGAATTGTCACCCCACATAAAAAGCTCTCCATCCTCTACAAAGAAAACACAAGGAGGAAAACAAGGTTTTAGGAGGTAGCAAGGCTATCAAGTTATATTTTTCAACACAGCACTTATTCTTTAATTCAGAAAAACTATGTGTCTTGATGGAAAAGTGCTACTAAGACATTCACACCAGCTAGCTGCATAAGAGTTTAATTTCTAACAGGAAAGGCTTCTAGGATGATAAAGGACAGAGGATAACATGATGCAAATCGTGTCCATATTTTTATCTCAACAGCAAAGACAGAATATTCTTCCCTTTTCTTAGTCTACCGTCTCCGAACAGCAGAAGTTTCTTCCTCTCAAGCACTCAGACTGCAAACGAACTGAACGACAGCATGGGCAGCCCGGGACCTTTCCTGGGCAAGTCCCTGGTCAAAAGGGCCTGGAGGACCTTACTCTTAAGAACACTATATAAACGTCTTAATGTTTTGAAGAAAAACAAAAAAGAAAAAGAAATGCAGTTCAGGGTTTTTTTGGTTGTTGTTGTTTTACAATTTATCCTTGAAAGCACACACTGCAACCTCAAAGATTAGGGCACACAGAGCATCTCCAGAGCATCTCCTGAGCACACAGAGCATCTCCAGAACGCAGCAGCTTGTGCTCTTTCTGATTAGGGTCTCAAGGGAAGAAGAAGCGAAGCCAGGCAAAATATCTTAGGAAGGAAATTATCAAGACTTACGTCTTTTAATTCATTTACATTTTTTAAAACTTTGAAGTGGTTTAATAATAAGCCAAATGAAAGGGAAACTGAAAATCAGAACCACAAGGACATCGAGGGGCTAAGGATGGTGGACGGTACTGCGGGCATGGGGCTGCCATGTGACTCCAGCCCTCCTGGCAGCTGGAGTGGCACCAGGGGCCACTCAGCTCCCCTACTGGAGCAGAGAAGCCCACTGTAGCTCCTTCACAGACACCGTGGGTACCTTGGCTCCCATGTTAAAGACATTTCTCATATGGGCTTAGAGAGGGAGGGCGGAGAGATGCAATGACCAATAGAGACCGTGTAATTTATTTTGTTTTTTAAAGTGTATTTATTTAAGTAACCTCTATGCCCAAGGTGGGGCTCAAACTCACAACCCAAGATCAGCCACGTGTTCTTCCGATTGAGCCAGCCAGGCACCCCCCCAGACCATATTCTGGTAACACATATCCAACCGATTTCTGTTTCTGACAGCAACTTATTAGAGCTGCAAATATAATGTCCAGAACACAGGATGAATATTTAGTATCTACAGGAGTAGATGGAAGCAAGGCAGCTACGTGTGTGTTCGCGTCTAACCCCAGATAAGCACAAAACTGGGGTTAGACGTAATGATTCAAAGTTCAATTTTTATGTCTTCTGAAAACACATGGCTAATGAAAGAAAACGAAACAGAACACTGGGGTCAGATGACTCAGTTGGCTTATCCTGGTCTAAAGGAAAGGGACGGTTCCCAGCCTGATGTGGAACAAAGTCTCACCAGTTAGTGCAGCTGAAGTGTTGGATCCAGCAGAGAGCTGTTTAATCTTTCGCTGGGAAGTAAAAAAACTAATTAGATGAAAAGAGTTTCTCTCGTCAGTGTCACCAAGTCCCAGCTGTCCTTCATTATTTCCTCCAGCTGCATATACTTTGCCTCCTTCTGCACATGGAAAAGGAAAGAAACATCCATATACTACAGTCACCATCTTTACGAGACAGGCCAGTTTCCAGATATTTCCTCTATTAATAGTGAAGAAAGCCGAAAGTTGACATTATCCTACCATTTGGTGAACAACTTCAATTCGTTGTCAAAAATCAAGCAAAACAAGCAAGGTTATACATTTTTGTGAGATTTTCTAAATTGGTCTAGAGCTTAAGTAGCAATTGAAATGCACAGAACGTGCAGAATGTATTTCCTTGCTTTATTAAATCAAAGCAAAAAGAGAAAAGTAATTTCCAAATTAGTTTATAATCCAAATCAAACTATTTTAAAAGAGATGTGGTTCATTAATTTTAACTTCCATACCCATTAAAGTTGAGATATAATATGTAATGAGTAAAATGAGGCAAATCCAAAAAGAATATAATTAGAAGCATGAAAATTCTATGTGTATTTTAATTTTCTAGCTAAACAAGAAGGCAGTATAGTATTGTGTTTTAGGAGAAAGGACTGGAGAGCCAGAGTTCCTGGGTGTGAATGCTGGCCTGCCATTCGTCAGGTGTGTGACCTAGGCAAGCTGTGCTTCACAGTGGCTCTCATTTTCCTCATCTGCAAAATGGGGATAAGAATAGTGCCTACTTCACAGAGTTGTTTATGAAGATCACATTAGTCTACGGCCATACCACCCTGAACGCGCCCGATCGCGTATGAAGATCACATTAGCTGACATTTATAAAATTCTTAGAACGGCATTTGTTTGTTGTACATACTATATAAATGTGTGTTAATTACTTTATTAATTAAATATGAAGTATATCATGCCTAGATAATAAAAATTGTCAGTAAGCTCAAAAGTAATGAAGATTTTTAAAAACACACATATTAAAAATCAGTTATATCTGTCATACAGATAGATGCACACGAAGTTAAAGCCTCACTAAACTATAGGGGAAACTTTGAGCAAAACCAGCCCGAGTCAGTAAAAATTTAAGATATTATTTTAGAAAAGATGAAATCTAATTGAGGAACCAAGACTAGCTTTCCAATGGAACATACGACAAGGCCATGGAATTTAACACATATCGGGTGAACCAGAGTTGGTGGAATGCTTAAGCAGTTCAGAGGATGACATGAGTCAAAGTTGAAGAGCCACAGAAAGCTCCATGGAAGAAGACTTACACTGGATCTTAAAAGACAAGAATCTGAATAAGAGAAAGACATTTTAGCAAGGCAAAGGTATGAATGAAGGGAAAGGGCCAAGGAGGAGCCAGAGGCGATGAGAATAACCTGAACACAGAAGAGGCTATGGGGGCGAGGGGCGGGCGGCAGGGGGTGGGGGGAAGGAGGTAGGAAAGGTAGCTCGGTGATCAGCGCCTGGATGTCCATTTGTTCCAGGAGCATTTGTTGAAAAGACTACCTTTTCTCCATTGAATTGCCTTGGCACTTTTGCCAAACATTAGTTGGGCATATATGTGTGGGTCTACTTCTGGACTCTGTTTTGTTCTGATAATCTTTGTCTCTCTTTTTGCCAGTGGCCCAATGTCTTGATTACTGTGGCTTTAGAGGTCTTGAAACCAGTAGTGGTGGTCCTCTGCTTTTGTTTTTTTCAAAACCGTTTTGGCTATTCTGGGTCTTGTGCTTTTCCATATGAACTTTAAAAGCACCTTGTGAGTTTCTACACACAGACATACACAGCCCATTTGGATTTTAACTGGAAATGTGTTCACATCAATAGCCTTTTGGGGGTAGGTCCCACTCACCCTCAGAAAAGAGGAAAGCACAAGATCAGGAGCGGGCAGCCCCCAATGTGTACACATAGGTAAGGATGGGCTGCCCCTTGACATAATCCAAGATTTTCTGCAGGCATGTAACATTTATCTATGTATTTTCAAAGGCAAACAAGTGTGCTAACCATTTATATTTTAAAAAATCCTAATCTTATTATTGCCAAGGTACCATTTCTATTAATTTTATAAAGCCATACTGGAGTGAGAACTCTGTCCTCAAATTGGGAAGGAAGTCACACAGATTGAATACTATACCTGTTGAAACTAGGGTGTGGTTCCGTCCACAGGCAGCAAATTTCACTTTTTCAGGTTTTAAAGCTAAAAATATTTAAAAAATGACAAAAGATTTTATGTTTACAACAGTGATAAATAACACAGGTCAAATGATAACTAACCAGCAGAAACGAGATTTTAAACCCAAACCCGTCTGACTCCAAAGTTGTTCTTAAATAAGCCAAAAGTTTTCAGAACTAGCTGTGCATCATAATGACCAGTGGAGCTTTGAGAAAAGTACAGATAGCTCAGCCCTACCCCTGGAGAATCTGAGTCAGCAGGTCTGAGGTAAGGCCTAGGCATCTAAGTGTTTTTAAAATGTCCACAGGTAATGAATATGTACTGAGATTCATGCACTGTTACGCTGCCTCCTCACCAAACTAATCACGTTGTCTCTAATCTGCTATCGCCATTGTCAAGCTCACCTTCTATCTCACACAGTGAAACACTACAAGTCCAAGAGTCACAGGTATAACCTATGGTAAAGCTCTTCACTCAATCATTTACATGTTCAAAAGAGATTTAAAGAACACTGCCTATGTGCTTACCATAGTGGCTGCAAAAATCACTAAGACAGAGTCTCTGGTGTCAAAGATCTCATAGTCTAGACAATCCTGTTACTTCATCTATTAGATATTTGAGAGTAAAGATCATGTGAATAAACCCAGGGTTTAAAAAAAAACCCAGGGTTTAGTAGATTGTGCTCAATAAATACTTTTTGACCAAGTGGAATACTTTGAAAATTCCATAACATTACCTGTAAATAGCATGGATATGCTAAACTACACTGACATTTTGAGCTGAAATTACAAATTTGGCTAGGAAGATTAAGAATATTGCTTTTGTCACATCCCAAGGAATCTCCATCACCTGTTCACAGGTTACAGCCAAACAGAAGCTTTACACATAATGCCAGGAAAGCTTTGTAAAGGTATTATATATCCCATATTTTCTGGGACAGTCTGATTTAAAATATTTTGTCCTGTTCTTGTAAGGACACTACTAATCAACCCCTGGGCCCAATGTCTCATTCAGTACATCTAGTCACTATATACAGCAGGGTCAAGTATAATTCATAAAGCCAACAGCTACCTAGAACCATGATGCCCACAACTTTAACAAATGAGACAAAGCTCAAAATTCTTATATATTGTATTGGTTAGTCTTTGTATATACAATAACAGTAATATTTAAGCAGGTTAACAAACAGGCAAAATAAAAGGATATTCAAGTGTAATACCGAAGAATCATTACTTCCTTTGTGTTCTTTGGGTTTAAAAGCAATGTGATTTTTATTTATTTTTTTTAATTTATTTTTTTTAAAGATTTATTTATTTATTTGACAGACAGAGATCATAAGTAGACAGAGAGGCAGGCAGAGACAGAGAGAGGGGGAAGCAGGCTCCCCGCTGAGCAGGGAGCCCGATGTGGGGCTCGATCCCAGGACCCTGGGATCATGACCTGAGCTGAAGGCAGAGGCTTTAACGCACTGAGCCACCCAGGCGCCCCAAAGCAATGTGATTTTTAGACCCTAACACATAAAAGTAGTTCTGATTATCATATAAAAAATAAAGTCAGACACCAATAATGGTCAAGTAAATAATGGAAAATAAAGAACTAAGGCTTTATTATTCCTAATATAATATTAAAAAACATCACAATCAATACAAAAGTACTTTATGAGGTTTAAGTATTTAAAGCAATAAAGAAGGAAAGACCCCAAACCTTTGACACACGTTGGCTTGTTAATAGTTGACTTTGATCCTAATCCTAACTGGCCCCAGTTGTTACTGCCAAACATGTAAAGTTTATTATTTCCTGGTGGGAAGGAAAAAGACATAAGAAATCGAAGCATTTTCAACATAAAGTGATGTGAGACGAAGTCATCACAAAGCAATAAAAAAGGCTACACTTAAAAGTTGTATTGCTTTCCCGTGTTGAAACAGGTTACCTTGCCCAGGTTAAAATGAATTATTTTAACTGTCCATTACAGGTTACCAGATTCTGTTAGGTGTAAAAAGTTTCTAAGATTATGCATTAATCACGTTTGATTATATAGATATGTTAAAATAAATTTATTCCAAGAACGTAGTGTTTATACAAAATCCTATTTAAATATGCCAAGGGGATTTCAAATTTAAAAACACTCTCTTGATGCATCACATTGTCAAGAAATCTCTGATGAAAGAAAGAAAAAACATTATTCTGGTAAAGGAAAGTATGTTCAACATGTTTGAAACATGGCACATCTATAATATCTAGGATTCTTTCAGGATTACCGTCCTCACTTAGGATTTCAGTACTAACCTGTAACAATTGCAGTATGTTCGTCTCCACATGAAAGAAATGTAGGTATGTCATTTTTAAACCAAAATTTGCTGGGAATATTTTCAGCAAATTTAGTTTTTCCAAATGTAAACACAGCACCTGAACCTGCAAATATAGGATAGTTTCTATTTTACAACTTTTACTATGTTGTCTGTTACCAAAATATTTTTTTTCGGTAATTTATCTGTACAGATTCCTTGTCTCATGGCAGCTCTGCTTCCACTCCAGCACTGTTTACATCCACCTTCTACCTTAATTCAGTCTTACTCCTCAGACTTTATTCTGGTTTTATTTATGAAATCTACTAAATAGGTATTATTCATTTATTGGAGGAAAGTAAGGAAAAAAAAAAAAAAGGTAAGGCAGTCCTCCATTACTGAAAGTCTGTTTCCCCAGGTGGACCATCCGCTCCCTGGAATGAGCTGATTGATAACAATCCTGCCCTATTAACACTGGTTAACAACACCTCGTGGTCTAGCCTGATTGAAGGCTTTTCTCCACATACGGGACTAGGACAGTATTGAGTTTCATTATTAGCATCATGTCCATAAAGCATGTTGAGATTTAACACTCTTAAGTCATTAAACACTACCTGATCTGAGTAGTATTCACAAACTATTTTGGTCCAGTACCATTTTAGAGAGAGACCAAAAATCCCTACCAGTTCTCAATAACCATTTAAACACACACACACACACAAATATACACGCACACGAGGCCAGATCCAACTTTTGAGGAAATCTCAAGGAGAATAATCACACAGAAAGAAACTAATGGGTGCCATAAAGTAAATATAGGGAACATAAGTATTAATAATAAATGACAATGTACAAGGGACTAGCCACTATGAAAAACCCTTTGAGAACAATTGTGAGGTGTGTCAATTGAAACCAATTACTTAGATTGGAGAGGCCAGGTTCTATAACACACTTTGGGTGTTTCTAGAATGAATAATTTCGTTTTGTTCTATTCTGGCTTCCCAGTTAGCCTGCCCTGATACCCTCACTCCAAGCCAAGGTTTGGTGGCTCGCTCTGTCCCCTAGTAGTTATTATCTATTGTGAAATGGTACTATCATTTTGTTTACCTTCTAGTATTTCTCACTAGGTTGTGAACCCCAGGAGGTCAGGAATCTAATCATGTTAGAGACAAGAACATGGCAGAAAACGCTACACACACACACACACACACACACACACTTGATACTGCTGTAATCCAGTACTTTTTTTTTTTTTTTAAACTTTTGGTCTTGACCCATTAGTGGGTGAGAAAATCAATTTAGTAGGTCACGATTATCATTTTCAAAGGAATGTACTATACGACAGATCTGAGAGCAACCAAGTGGTTAGAGTAAGCACCACTTCATGAAACATCTACTTCTGTTACACTATAACGTGTGGCACAGCGTCACAATGTCAAACGTATCTCTGCAGCTCAGGGGAAAAGTTTTACAAGAGCACTCGTTAATGGCCCCCACCGCCCCTTTTCTCTAAGTCGCTTTCCCCTCTCCGTCTGTTACCCCACGCCCCCTAGTCACCCACTCTTTACTGCATTCAATACATAACTGGGTCTTGGGGACCTCGATGGGGGTACTTTGGGAAAGTTTATAGGGAGGTAAAAACTGCCCCTGCGTTCGAGAAACTCATCGAGAGCTTATTTCAAAAGAAAGAGGAAAAAAAAAAAAAAAAACACGAGCACCCCTTCCCCGTGCTCCCCCTGCCCTTCCTTTCTGCTCCTCTCAGACTATCGCCCAGACGCGGCCCGAGCTCCAGACCCAGTCCGGCGGCCGTTGCCTGGGCCTTTCCCTCGACGGGGCGGCCCGGAGGCGGGACCTGGCCGCCCGCCCGCCCGCGGACCCTCCCTCCCGGCCCGCCACCACCCCCACGGACGCGACTCACCGGGCACCACCTCCTCGGGTTCCCCCATGCCAAGGGGGATGCGGGGAGCCTGCGCCTGACCCGGAAAGGTGGCGGGGGCGACTCGGTGGGGCCTATGGCAGTGCCTCAGTCCCGACGCGGGCCGCGGAAGCCCCCCGGGCCCCCATAGCGACACCCCGGACATCGGCTACTACCGCGTTCCCGGAAGTCAACAAACAGCCGCTAGGGGCAACGGAGGCGGAACGTTGGGGCGCGAGGCGGGGCCGGCGACGGGGGACGGGAGCAGTGGGCCGGGAGCAGTGGGCCGGGCGGCAGGCACGGCGCGGGCGCAGGCGCAGACGCAGCGGGCGGGGCGGTAGAGGCCGCGCGCCCTCTGGTGGCCGGGAGGAGAGGGGCGGCCACGCCGCGCGCAGAGATGCTTCTGAGCCCGCACGCTGGTGGTGGTGGTTTATCTAGGCCCGGCAGGGACCTCGTAAGCATAATGACAAACGTCACAAATATCACATACTCTGTCACTCAGACTATGTGACACAGGCAAACGTCGACACATAACCGTAACAATACTAATAAGTGACCATCTCTAACTATAAATGAAATAGGGACTCTGCTAAATATCCAAAACGCATTTGTATTCCCAGCATGTAACCCGAGACCTTCCGTATACTAGATGCTCATTAAATCTTTCTCCAATGAATGAATCCTACCGCAATCCTGTAAGGTGGTTCATGTTAATCCCTCATGGATGTGTTGATTATACAAAGGAGGAGAGCTAGGGTCTAGCTTAGCCAGCCCAACCTGTCCTTTGGACCTCTCCCTCTGTCCTCCCTGAGAAGGCTGAGGTGTGCCATCCACTACTGACAGGAAATGCACAAAGAGATTCACAAACAGCAGACCACCATTGCTTTAGAATTCGTCCAGAGATATTTTCCTACAAACTTTAGTTTCCCATACACCATAAAACAAAGAGGCAAAAAGCTATCTTCCAGGATGAGGAAATGTATGTACATGTGGTAGTTGTGGGCACCAGCTAGAAGCCGGATTCAAGGACCTTGTGTGGAGAAGAGTGTATTATTGACTTTCTCAGGGAGTTTGGTTAAAACCAGAAGGAGACATTAAACGAGGCAGTACACAAATAATCATTTACTTGCAGAGCAAAGTGGGGGGTACTAAGAAAGTGTTTAATGGGGAGCACTGGCCTGGTGTGAGAGGTTAAGAAATGCTTATCTGAAGAAACATCATTAAATCTAAGAACTGGAAGGAGAAGCTGGGAGAGGTGAGAGCTCTGGGCAGAAAGTAAATCGTGGGCAAAGGCTCATAAAGAACAGAGCTCTTTGCAGGAGCTCAAAGAGGTGACACTAGCTCATGGCAAAGTGGCGGGGTTGTGGACCTGTGAAGGACTGAGATTCTACCCTAAGGACAGTGGGGAGTCATTGAGAGGTTTTAGGTAGTGGAGTGACAGGATCAGCTACGTGTATTCCTGGAATCATCCTGCCTGGCTGATTTGTGGGGAATAAATTGGAGCAAGAAGGAGGGTTCAAAGGCTACTGCAGATATAATGACAACCAGTCAGTATGGCTTAGAATATAGTGTATTGGCCGATCTGCAGGAGGCCAACCTAAAAACGTCTTGGGAAATAGAATCACCAGGAATTGGTAACCGACTACTGACTCTTGGGCAGTGCAGGACACTGTGGGAAAAGAAGAATTTTTAAAGACTTCCTTTAGTTATGGTATGCTTTTGGGTTTCTTTTTTAAGATTTTATTTATTTATTTATTTATTTAAGAGAGAGAGAGAGAGAGAGAGAGAGAGATAAAGAGCAGGAACAGGAGAGGAGAGGGAGAGAGAGAAGTAGGCTCCTCCCTGAGCAGGGAGCCCCAAGTGGGGCTCGTTCCCAGGACCCCAGGATCATGACCTTAGCTGAAGGTAGGTGCTTAACCCACCGAGCCACCTGGGTGCCCCAAGTTTGTTTGTTTGTTTTATTTCAAAAAGAGAAAGCACATTTTGCTGCTGAGCGTTCCAGAAGGTACTGATGCAGCTCTACTCCAGGGTTTCCAACGTAAGCAAATGGGGGACGGCTGGTGCCACTCACGAAGACCGGGAACATCATGGAAAGGGCAGGAAGGGTGGAGTTAGGTAGGCAGGGGGAGGAGAACATTACAGTTCAGCCTCAAGCCCACTAAGGCATCAAAGTGGAAGTGCTGAGCGGAGCAGCCAATTGGCAAGTAGGAGCCGCAGGTGGAGGGACATATTTAGGGGTGCCTGGGTCTAGGTACCCTCAGGAAACACTTCTAGGTGAAAGACTGGAAAGTGACTATAGAATGAAAAGGAAAGAGAGACTGGGATGAGTCGTGCTAAAGGTCAACACTTAACGGCCCAGCAAGAAATGATGAAGCTGGAAAGCAGAGAGTAGCCACAGAGGGAGAGTTCCCAGATTAGGGGTTCAACAGAAGGGTGTGGTCAGTTGTGTCACGTGATGCTGAGAAATGAAGTTAGGTGGAAACTGCCCCTTGAATTTCACGATGAAGAGATCATTTGTAGTGCTGAAAAGAGGTGTTCGGTAGAGTGATGGAAGAAGAAACAATACTGGAGTAGAAAGTGGGAGAAGCTGAGAGCAACAAGTGAGGGTGAACCCTCAGACATTGGAGACTGAAATGGGCTAGGAGGGGACAGGAGATAGTATTTGGAGGGGGAAGGGATGTGGACAGAGGGCTTCTTTTAAGTTTGGGGAGACGTGAGGGGCACCTGGGTGGCTCAGTGGGTTAAGCCTCTGCCTTCAGCTCAGGTCAGGATCTCAGGGTCCTGGGATCAAGCCCCACCTCAGGCTCTCTGCTCAGCAGGGAGCCTGCTTCCCCCCACACCCCGCCACCTCGGCCTGAGTCTCTGCCTACTTGTGATCTCTGTCAAATAAATAAATAAATAAATAAATAAAATCTTTTTTAAAAAAAGTTTGGGGAGACTTTAGAATGGTGAGGGGCAAAACACGTAGGAGAGAAAACAGATTTAGGAGAGTGAAGGAATAACCAATCCTCTGAGGGAGGAAGAGATGGCATCCAGATCTGTGGAGAGACTAGTCTTAGCTAGAAGGGGAGACACTACTTTTAGCATAACAAGAGGAAAGGAAGAAAACCTCCTTGCACATTATACCCATGAGATATAGATATATATATCTATATATCATATATACATAAAACTGATTCGTATGATACAGATGCATATTGCATATGTCATATAATATATGATAATACTATTGTCTATCCCAGAAGCTGAGGGACTAGATCATGCACGTGGAGCTTACAGTGTGGTACCTGGGCTAGAGGGCATCACTCAACGGTGTTAGCTCTCACGAATAAGGCAGAGTCAGCTCTGCTCACTGTATCCATGTAACCCAGGCTATGCTTCACTGCAAGCGACACTCCAGTCTCAGTGGCTTAACACAAACCGAAGTGTTCTTTCCCTCACTCATGCTACATGTCCACTGTGGGTCAGCGGGGGGATCTGCTTTACCTGATCACTCCGGGGCCAGGACCACTGACGGAGGTCTGACGATCTTGTAACTGTACCGTTTGTGACTCCTGACCTCTTTGGTGGCCGCAGCAGGTCTAGAGAGAGGGGGGAAGTGGGGAATGAAATATTTCCAGCTAGAGGTAACATGTTTCTGCTTCTTACCACCCCGTGGCCAGATCCAGTGCTCTGGGCCCCCGTGCGCTGCAGGCAGGCGGGGAAAGGTGGGAGCGTTCGTGACAGTCAGTAAGAAGTACGCGTCTCGACCACATCCCCGTAGCCAGATGGTCTCAGCCTGCGGAGTCACTTTCCTTGTGTTGGAGAAGGCAGAGAGTGCTAAGGGATAATTTCATGACTCTTGGCTGCGGTCCTGTGCTCTCACCGTGAGTGCTCCCCTTCCTAGCCGGCCAACCTCAGGACATCACGTTGATATAGAGAAGTCATCACATGTCTGACAACATGCACAACTCTGGGCAATTTCCCCCCATTAATTCTAGTTGTTATTCAGTTCTGGAGCATTCTGTGTCAACTTAAAAATAGAAGCATGTACAAACAAGGAAGACATTTGATGGAGTACGCTTCCTCACTGAACTAGTTCCTTTCTTAGCAGCAGTCAACAAAACCCCCAAGGCTTGCATTTTGAATGACATTACAATGCCACTGCCAACACCATTTCCTTCTCGGCAATCAGAAAAACAGGTGTATCTCCACTTAGAAAACCCTACTACCAAATCTTGTAGACATCCAGACTCACAAATGAGATTCTTTTTAAAAAAAATATATATATTTAAGATGTATTTATCTGAGAGAGAGCGCACGTGCACACTGGGGGACAGGGGGAGGCAGAGTGAGAGAGAATCTTAGCAGACCCTGTGCTGAGCACAGAGCCAGAGGCGGGGCTCGATCTCACGACCCGGAGATCAATAAATCCAATTCTAGTAGCTACTTTGATTTCTGAACTTTTGTGGTACAGCTCCAGGATATATGAACTGAGGACATATAGGTCCAAAGCCGGGGAATTTCATTTATAAGAAAGTAGCAGAAATTAGGTGGGGACTACTACGCTATTACCCCAAGGAAGAAAATTTGCACTTTTCTTAATCATTTAGTCCAGTATTTAAAAATCTTGAATGCACATACAGATCATCTAGTGGTCTTGTTAAAATTCAGATTCTGATTTAGCAGATCTTGGGTGGGCCCTATGAATTTGCATTTTTTTTAAAGATTTTATTCATTTATTTGAGAGAGAGAGAGAAAGATCACAAGTAGGCAGAGAGGCAGTCAGAGAGAGGGGGAAGCAGGCTCCCTGCTGAGCAGAGGGCCCGATGCGGGGCTCGATCCCAGGACTGAGATCATGACCTGAGCCAAAGGCAGAGGCTTAACGCACTGAACCACCCAGGCACCCCTGAATTTGCATTTTTAACAAATTCCCAGCTGATGCTGATCCTCCTGGTCCATGGATCATACCTCATGTAGCAGGAGTTTAACTCCCAGAAAAACCTAAGAAGTACTTTAGAGAAGCAATAAACGAACAGGCTGGCAAATGTGACTATAGATAATTGTCAGATAAAGGATCTAGTATTCAGAATACATATAGAATACTAATGAGTCAAGAAGAAAAAGACAAAAATGAAAGACATACAAAATAATCAAAGGATATTGCATTCACAGAGATAAAAATCCAAATGGCCAATAAACATGTAAAAAGATAATTAACCTTAATGGAAATAATGAAAATGCAAAATAAGTAATCATGAGAAACATATTATTGGCAAAAATAATATTGTT